TGCAGCTAGAGTACAAGAGGTGAGCAGGCAGGGATAGACAAATGGGGAGGGGGAGAAAAGAAGTGACTAAAGCTACAGCTTCAGGGCGTAAAGGGTAGGGCCAGGTGGTAAGAAGGTACAAAATTTTAAGAGAATGATTATGAGAGACCAGCTCTCTTGGCATGAACAGAAATGATGAGAGGCAGAGAAAACCAGCATCTGGGGTTCCAACACCCCTCCTATGCCTGTGTCCTTTGAGGGTAGGGGGATAGTGCTGGGCCTTCACAAGACCTTGCTGCCACCCAAATTTAAATTCTTTCTACCTTTTTGTGTCCACACCTGGAGGCCCCATCAAAAACCAAAGTCAAGACCCATTGTTGTTGGGTCAATGCCAACTCATAGTGACCTACAGAAAAGAGTAGAACTTCCCCACAGGGTTTCCAAGGCTATGGTCTTTGCAGAAGCATACTGCCACATCTTTCTCCAGTGGAGCACCTGGTGGGTTCTAATAGCTTACCCCTCAAACTCTGTATGTTAGAAACAACTTTCTTCTGATCCCAAAACTTGTCCCTGCTCCAGTGGCCCATATCTCTGTCACCCTCATTGATTCACCCAACTCAGATACCTGGGGGTCAGGTGAGCCCTCCTCCCTGCTTATGCCCTACACTAGATCAACATTGAAGTCTGGCCTCCAGCAGTTCCTGAAGCTGACCTCTTCTCTCCCTCTCCCTAGCCTCACTCATCATTTTTGGCTCTATCATCTCTCATGGTTCCTCATCAGAGAGGTGCTGCCTTTCTCCTAACAATCTCTCCAGTCCAAATACAATTCTAACTAGTCCCTGTAGTCAGTGGTTCCCAGGACCCTCATTCTGAAACTGAAGACCCTTAACCTGGTATTCAAGGTTCTCTATGATCTGACCTCTGACCTCTGTCCAATCAGCACAGCCTGTCCCCACATCCTCCCTCTCCATCTGCTCCTGCAGAGGGAACCCTTATTCCCTCACCAACTTCCTGTCCCACCCACCCCCTTCAAGACTCAGCTGCAGCCTCACTTCCTCTCACAAGCATTTCCAGAACCCAAGCAATGACTCTTCTCTGCAGTCACCTGCTCTGTGTAGGATCTCTCCCATAACCTGTGACACTCAGGATTTAGAAGCCACATTTGCTCCAGCCATTCAATCCTTCTGAGTATTTACTCCTCTGTAAAATAGGCCAATAACACACGCACCACAAAATATGAGAATTATAATAGTGAGTGTTTAGTGAGCAGGCACTAAACTAAGAATATTTTACATGTTATTTCATGTAATCCTCATAGCAGGATAGACATTAACCAGCCAGTTGCCAGTAGAATCCATTCTGAGTCATGTTGACCCCATTATTAGCCCCATTTGATTAAGGTGGAACTGAGGTTAAGTGCCTGGCCTAAAGTGCCTATCCCTGGTGCAGAAGTTACTGATCCCACCTTCCCTGACCCTGGCTGCATCTGCTTCGCCTGTTAAATTGCTCCCTCCCCCACCACACATGGTGAGTTTTTAGACCCAAAGAGTGGTACCTGTTATGCACACCTGTGTATCCCAAGGTCCTAGAACAGAGTCTGACATGCAGTAAGTACTTGGTAAATATTTGCGGACTGGAGTAATCCATGAATGAATAAATCCAGCCAGTGATAGTGCTTGGATGCCGGCTCTTGGCTCTTTCTGGCTCCAGGGCACAGATCTCAGCCCCTGAGCTGGAAGCTGCAGAAAGCCTGCTTTAGCACCAGGCCTAGCACACAGTAGGCGCTCAGAAATCTGTAGCTGCTGCTGCTGTTATGAAGGAGGGGGAAGAAAAGGAGGAGGAGAAGAAAAAGAGGAGGAGGAGGTGAAGAAGAGGAGGAGGAGGTGAAGAACAATCAGAGGTAGAAGAATCATTTTTAAACTATTGCTACTCCCTGAGTCTGTCTCCCCAACACTCAGAACTCCCCATGGCGACCCAGGTCCACATCCTTTCGGTTCTCAGCGCAGAGTCAACTCCAGCAGGTGGCTTCGGGGAGAGTTTGGGAATAAGCCTGGACAGTGGAAATTAGGAAGGAAACTCCCATCTCCCGCCCCACCGAGAGTCAGCGCTCAAGATGGCTGCCCTCTTGGTCAGGGGTCCAGCGCGGCCGCTAGAAAACCCACGCTCGTCCCCAGGGCGAATCCCAGCTCCTCCAGGAACTGGAGGCGCCTATTCACTGGTCTCCCCGCCGCCCTACCACAGCCAGGCTCGAGCATCGTGGGTTCTGATTCGGACCCTCAGAGTCTGACCCCTGGGCGGGTCACGGATGGTTTCTGAGCCTCAGTCTTCCCGACTGTGAGGTCAGGTGCGCGCCAAGGGGCTGTGACTGACCGCCTTGGGCTTCCACGGTGGGAACTAGGCTGTGGCGGTCCAGGGGAGAAGAGGAACCCGGGAACCCCACTACTACACCCACCACTGGAACTCCCACCGCTCACGAACCCTTCTGGAGCTCCACCGAAAAGTTCTCAGACCCAGCTGGGCGGGATCCCCGCAAACCGCTGTGGCAATCTGCGTCTCATCCCCGGGCCGCGCGCGTCTGCACACTGGCGGGGATTTGTACAGAGCCCCCGCCATCGGCCAGTGGAGACTGCTTCATAAGAGAAGGAGGAGGAGAAGGCCACCGAAACAGTAGAGAGAGGACAAGATCAGGGGTCCTCGAATGGTTGGGCAACTCCTTGGACCACTCTGGACCTCAGTTTCTTCCTCTGCAAAATGGGGCCGGTAATAAAAAACTCACTGTATTCACTCGGGTTTGTTGTGAAGATGAACTAAAACGATCATCTTGAAATCTACGAAGCCCCAAGGTACTTGAGCGCGGGTAACAGGGCCCCTAGGCCCGAGCACAGGCAGGAACCCGGAAGCCTTTGGGGCACCAAGTGTGGGTTTCTCCCGCAAGCAGGAGGCCCAGACCGACTCTATCACAGCCTTGCGAGCAAAGGCCCAGGAGGGGGCGACTAGAACCACCTGGCTGAGAGGTGACTCGAGGCCTTTGAAAACTTGGAGGCTTTCGTGGGCGCGGCAGCCAGAGGAAAAATGTTCACACTTTTAGAAGCTCCCAGGCGCTTTCTCCGCCTTCTCCTCTTCTTTCTAACTCTTCCCACTTTTCTTTCTTCTCCCTCACTTTCTTCCCTATCCCATTCCCTTTCTCGTCCCAACGCTCTCTCTCTCTTGCCCCCATCTTTCTTCTACTGCCGCTCCTCCCCCCACTTCCACTTCATCGTCACCCTCGCACTTTATAACCAAACAGGCAAACCCCCTTTCCAATTAAAGTGGAATTAGGCAACTCAATCAAATTAGTTCCCTATTAAAGCCCTTCTTTATTAAACCGTTTTCTTGTCCTGCTATTAAGTTTCACCGCCTGGCGGAACTCGAGCCGGCCCCAGAAGTTTACCTTGGGATGTCGCCGGGCCCGGACTAGGGGAGGGGTCACCCTATTTCCTGAGGAGGGACGGGAGGTTGGAGGAGGGGGTCGGCCTGGGAGCTGCTAATTTGCACAACTCCGCCTGTGGAGAGAAGGGAAAAGGGCAAGGACACCGACGGCCCGGGGCTGCAAGGCCGGGTCCGAATGCGCGTCCCCAAGGCCACTTTTGAGTTACACTGCCTCGAGCGAAGGCTGCACCGCCACCACACCCACCACCCCACAAAAAAAGTAACTCTCAGGCCCTGGCGGGAGAGCTCTCGCCATCCTTCCCTCCCTGGCCGCCGCCTCTAGGAGAAAGGAGACGCCGCGGTGTGCGGCCCCGGCTGCGCGCAGATCTGTGCCCCGGAAGAGTGAGATCCGGACCCGCCAACCTAGCAGGGTCCTGGAGAAGGGTTCCGACCGCGGGCTGGGGATCACGAGCACTGAGCCCGCCCGCCACAGCCGGCGCGCCTGAGCCCAGGCCCCGGCCCCAGTGCGCAGGGGGCGCCCGGCTCGGCCCGCGCTCTGACCCGCAGGGTCAGGCCGGCGCCAAAGTGCTCTCTACCCTCGTCTCCTCCGAGAGTCCAAGCACCGGCGGGACCTCCGTCAAGCCTTTCCTGCACCGCGGCCCCGTGGGAAGTCAAGCCCTTGTCATCCGCCCGAGGAGCGGGGCCAGAGTCGGCGTTGTTTTCTTAGAAAATAACATTTATTTCTAGCTCCTGTCTATGCGAAGGAAAGCACAAAGTGAGCCGTTCGCAGCCCCTCAGCTGGGGCGCTGGGCGAGTCCCGGGAGGCGGGGACCGGCCCGCGCGCGGGCGGGTCTGCTCAGTCACAAGTCGCTCTGTCCCGGCTTCAGCGCACACCTCCACGGCTCCTGAGGGCGAGACAGGCCGCAGGCAAGAGGGGCAGGGCTAGGGGGCAGGATTCGGCCCAAGTTTACAATATATTCAATCTATAAAACCTGATAAGTACAATGCGCTCATAGTCTAATTTTTTTCCATTTTGTCTTTTTTTTTTTTGCGTGTTTTTTGAATTTTTTTCACGTTAATACCGAGGTCACCTACAGATTACAATTAATAACTTAGAATTCCATTTTATAACATTATACACTGGCTTGTATATATATATATGTATAGATTATATATAGATTTATACATATATAAAAACTCACACTGCACCAAGGAAACCCATGCTTATCGGCATAAGCAACAAAGCGACAAATACCGCAACGAGGAAAGTGCACCTTAGAACTTGTTTCCTTTTTTTTTTTTTTTTACAATTGATATCGATATATATGTGTTCCCAAGACTCGACTTAGTGCCAAGAGATTTATACATCCTACATTTATATTTGTTAGAGCAAATATTTAAAATTAAAAAAAAAAAAAAAAACGGGAGGGAGACACAGAAGACCGACTCTCAGACTATCCTGCCATCCAAATGAGGGAGCAGGCGAGTCGGCTGAGCACAGCTAAAGGAGAAGAGGCGGCGGCCTCGGAATTTCTGCGAATGTCCCGCCTTTTGAGGAGCTGGGGAACCTTAAGGAGGGGGCTCCCCACTGTGACCGGGAGTGGGGGCATAAGGATCCGGGCCGTGCACCCCTCCCGAGAACATCTGCACCTGTAGTTGCTCCCTTTTGTTCGTCCCTCTCCACCCACCCTCCAAATCAAAACCGAAAACCACCTGGGAGCGGAGGATCCCAGCCAGTGCGCTAATAGCGCACTCGGCTGGCCGAGAGGGGCCGGCGGCCCTCGGGGACAAGACTGAGGAGCCTGTCTGGGGCTGCCGGGCTGCCCTGTCTCTTGCTCTACTGCTTCTCTGGGGCGCCGTTGACCATCGGCCCGTACAGGCCGCCACCGTAGGTGGGCTCCTTGTGCACCGCGGCGGCGGCGGCCGAGCGGTCGCGCATGAGATCGCTGAAGGCGTAGTCCATGGGCGGGCGGAAGCCCAGCGTGGGCACCAGGCCTGCGGTGGAGTAGGGAGCCATGAAGGCCAGGCCGCGGCTGTGCGCCGCCGCCGCCGAGTAGGCCAGGCGCAGCGGGCTGAGGCCGAGCGGCGCGCCCAGCGGGTAGGCTCCCGCGTCGGCGCCGAAGTGGCTGGCGTTGGGCTGCAGCGGCGAGAAGGCCGAGCGGCTGCTCAGCGAGCCCAACGCCCCAGGAGCCATGGCTCCAGCCAGTAACGGTCTGTGGTGCTGGGGGCCGGCGGGGCCGGCCTGCAGCGACGCAGGCAGCCCGGGAGCCCCGGCGGCGGCGGCAGCGTCGACGCGACCCGGCCATGCGTCGTCTATGGCCGCTGCTGCACCCACGGCACCCTTATCGGGGGCCACCGCTGGGCCCAGGCCGGCCGCGAGCCCCCCGCGGTGATGGTTCAGCACCTGCTCGATGGCCTGGACCACGTCGCCGCCGCAGCCCTGCAATACCAGCTCCAGGACGCCGCGCCGGTGGCCGGGGAAGACGCGCGTCAAGATGTCCAGCGGCGTCCGCTGCCGTGGACTCGGGCCTCCGCCCAGCCCCGGCGCTGGTCCGGCCTCAGCCTCCTCCTTGTCGGCCTCTGAGCCGGATTCGGAGCCAAGAGGGCTTGCGGAGCCGGGGCTGTCCTCCTCGCCGCCGCCGCTGGGGCCAGCGCTGCTGGGACAGCTGCCACCTGCCTCTTTAGAGGCCCGGGCCAGAGGCGACCCCGAAAATGACTCGCCGTCGCCATTCTCCGACCCTGAGCCAGGCCGCACCTCGGGGGATGATGTCCCAGGACCCGAGTCCGCTCCGTCCGGGGACAGTGGCTTCCCCAGCGGCGGCTGCGGGCTGCCTGGGCGGCCTGCCTGTAGTAAAGTCTTGGGGAACAGGTCAAACTTCTGCAACTTGGCCTCTAGGAGAGAAAAAGGGGTATGGGGAGGTTAGCTGGAGGCGACAGCACCCCAGCCCTTGAATTCCAGTTTCCTCTTCTATGGGCCCCATAACCTTCACTCACTGGGCTCTTGTGCCCTCTTCCTTTTTGTTCCAGCATTCCTCCTCGCGGTGTCCCTGCAGCCCTGTCTCTCTTCCCCCGCCCCTCATGGTTCTACCCAGAACTTTCTCTACCCAGAACGCCAATTGCCTGTGTCTGTGAAGTCTCCCTCTAGGTTCCCTCTTCCCATCTCCGTGCCCCAACACTTTCACCCTTAGCCCCCAGCGCTCCCTTCTCAATTCTGCCCTGGAGGAGTGGCCCAGCCCAAGATTCAAGCTGAAGACAACACAACTTTCACCTATTCTGCATGCTGAGAAGACACAACTCCTCCTCTGAGGTTCCATGAGTCAATCCTGCCCTGGCCCTCTGGCCTTGGCCAGAATAACCAGTAAGAGGAGGTGTCTAGGACACCTAGAAGGCGCCAAGCCGCCCCACAAACAGGAACAGAACACTTGTTTCTAATTCACCTTTCCTAAAACTGGATCCAAGAAGTTCTTCCCTGTCAAGCTGAGAACTAAGCACCCCACCCCACCCCCGCCCAATTTCCCCTGCCTAATTCCCGCCCTCCGTAGAAAAAGTCGTGAGAGCAGGGCCAAGTAGGACGAAGGGAGAGAAGAGAAAAAGGGATCAAGGGAGGCAAGAGAGCCAATACTCTGAGAAAGCTGGGACGAATGAGGAGAGAAGGAAAAAAAAAAAAAAAAAAAAAGAGGGCGCAGCACATGGTTTTCCAGGGGACTTTTGCATCTAGAGAAAAAGAATCACTGGGGGTGGGGGGCGACTTCAGTACCTAGGGAAAGCGAGGCAGGGCGGAGGGAGGGAGAGGAGGGGGAGTAGGTCGGATTGATGAAGAAAATTGGGAAGGAGGGAAGAGAAAAAGAGGAGTGAGGAGGAGCACAGAGCCAAGAAAAAGACGCTTCTCCGCCCTGGGGAGAAATCGAAGCGTATTGAGTGAGGAAGCAGGGACTGAGTTTGTGAAGAGGAGAGTGAGATTGAAACGTCTACGTACAGGGCCGCGGTGGAGATAGGAGTAAAATACCCTTGCTTCAGAAACCGAAGAAAGAAGAATTTGTGTTTACGCTGATTATTAGGAGCTGGGTGTGCCGCGAACTCAGGCAGTCAGAGCGTTTAGAGAAGGGGATTCTACTCTTACTGACCCGAGTAGTGCGTCCCCAGGCCCCTTCTCTTCCTCTGCAGAAGCCCCTGCCTGGCCGCGCCGCTCACCTGCGCCCCCAGCGCCCGCTGCGCCGCCTCCGGCCCCCACGGGGGCGCCCGCTCCAGAACCCCCGCTGTCTGCCGCGCACACTGAGCCAAAGACCTCGTAGGCTGGCCGCGGCGGGATGATACCGTTGGCGGCGGCCAGTGCCAGGCCCTCGGCAGTGCCGTAGAGCAGCTGCAGCTCCCGCGCCTCGTTCTCCTCCTGTGCCTGCTGCCTGCGCAGCGCCACCTGCGCCGCCATGACGCGCTGGCGCTCGGCGATGAGTGTGCATTTGGCGCACAAGCAATCTTTCCAGCGGCAGTAGCGCTTGTGGCCCTTGAGCGCCGACACCACGCCGTGATTGCGGCAGCGCGCGCACTTGGGGGTCCTCGGGTACTTCTCCGCAGCCCGCAGCAGCAGCGGTGGAGCCCGCAGTAAGCCTCCGGCTACGCTCACCGGCAGCGACGCGGCCGCCGCCGCAGCAGCAGCCACCGACGCCACCGACGCCACGGGCGGCCCTGTTGCTGTCGCCGCTGCTGTCGCCGCGCCGGGCACGCTGGGCAGCTCCGAGCGCAGCTCCATGACTGGACCTGGCGAGAAAGATGGTTGGAAAGGGGGAGAGACCAGTAGTGAGGAGCGCTCAGTGCGTTAGGCTCGTGGAATGCGAGTTTTGAGAGGGAAATTTCGGTCGCAGAAATTTGGTTCTCAGTTGCCAAATAGCTGGAAGAAGGTATCTTGAGAGCCCCTGGTAAGGCCAACCTCTGCCCCCTCCTCCCTCCGCCCAGAACCATTCTTCTTAAATCTGATTTACTCGCTGGGAGTAAGAATCTGAAATTGTGGTTCCGCTGTGTGTGGAGGAGTGGGGGTGGGGGATAGGGAATGTGTAAAGTTTGAAAGCCACTGGTTCAGATGGCTGTAGTGAGAATTTGAAAAAGACAATGCTATCCCCAAAAGTTTGGTTTAATTGGGATGAAAGGGGTAGAAAGAAATGTATGTTTGGTGGGACTTGTATTAGAAAATTTTGCCCCAATAGTTAGATTAATAACCAAGAATAAAACAGGAATACCCAAAGTAGAACGTTCAGTTTGGCTGAAGGGTGAAGAGAAGGAGTGAGGAATGGAAGCACAGAGTTCAGCTGGTTGGTCCTAGGTTGTTTTGGTGGAGTTTTTGGTTTTATTTTTGAGGGGAGTGATTTGTGGGTGGAAGCGGGAAAACCAGGAACAGCAAGGACAGCTTTAGGAAACAGAGTGAGGGCGAGGCAAAAAAAAAAAAAAAAAAAACACAACCTCAGGGACAAAGTTAGACTGGGTGGCTCAGGGACTGGTAGAAATATGGAGGCTAAAAGTTTCGTGGGGCGGTCTTCCATAGAGGAGGAGAGAAATAGGTACGGAGCTGAGTTTAGAAGGCCTGAGAGAAAGAGGATTAAAGAGAAAAGACAGCTGAAGAAACTTTCTTTGGATAGCCAAACCCAGAGCCAAATACTAGTTTGAAGGGCAAGGGAAACGGCGAAGAACAGCTGATTTGGGTGCGGGACCCAGTATCCACGCAAGGTGGTGAATGAGGGGAAAAAACTCGCGGGCAGGGAGTGGGAGTGGGAGTGGGAATGGAGTAAAACCCGTGTCACAATTTTTAATTTTGGGGTCTGGAGCAATAGTCCGGGAGAAAGTACTCTGCGAAGTTAGGCACTGCAGGAGGGAGAGACCAGGTGAGTCTCCATCCTTTTCTTTCACCCCTCCCCCACTCCCGGTTTAAGGATAGCGTTGTCTGACACGCCCTCCCCATTCTGGAGCCCCGCGGGACCCCGTTCCAGGGCAGGTTTCCGCGTTCTGGTTTAATAGTTGGGTTCCTGGGATTTGGATGACCCAGCAGGCCGCACCGAGGCAGGGGAGTCCCCTCCGGAACTGGCCAGGCGTGGACGCCGAGTTCCCACCCGCGCCGCAGCCCCAGAGGCTCAAGCAGGCCCAACTCCCAGCTTCCGCCCTGGCCTCCTACGGATCTCCCAGTCTGCGCCCGAGCCCTGGACCCAATTCTGGTGCCTACGTCCGAGAATTTCGGAAGGTTGTCCTAAGCGCGCTTTCTACTCCTCCTCGGCCCCTAAGGCCCGAGTGGCCAGGGCCTTCCCATCAGGGGCCTCAAACCCAACTGGCTTCCCTGCTCTCCCTCTGGTCCTCAATTACCTGCCTCGGGCTCCGGGATCTTCCTTCTCCGCTGGCGCTGCGGTCGCCTTCCAGCTCCACTCGCGACGCTGGCGCTCTTGGCTTCCCCACCTCGCCACAGGCCCCTTATCTGACCACGTCACCCTCCTCCGGTCACCATGTCCTAACTTCCGGACCCCCTCAAAACGCAGCGCAGTTAAGCCTCCTCTTAGAAAATCGAAGCTGGGGGTCCGATTAGGGGCTGGCGTGCTGGAACCTGCGACTCGGCCCTTTCTGCTCCGAGTCCCCTTGCGGTGCGCGCCGGACGCCGCGCGCAGCCGGGGCCCAGTTGCCCGGCGCTGCCAGACTCTCAATGAGCCGCTCGCCCGCTCTATTGTTGCTCCTTAGGGCTCCATTAGACAGAATTGGACAACAATGTGGCGCCTGCCATTGGCCAGGGGAGGCAGACGGCGCTCTGATTGGCCGGCCCGCGCCCGGGGAGCCCCGCATTCTACAGTGTCCGAAAGCTTCGAAACTCCAAAAGCTTCACTGTGTACCTCGGGGATGGGCGGGGGCGCACCAGGGAAGGAGTGGAAAAAAAGTGGGCGAGGAGGAGCGCAGAAAATATCGTGACAAGTAGTTTCCGTGCGCCCGAGAGCGTGTGAATTGCGCCTAATTACCGTGTCCGGTGCGCCTCTCTACGTAGACGTGTGTAACCCCTCGGCTTCTGGGGCGCGGGCTCCGCTGCGCCGCTCTCACTGGCCCCGGGCGCTTGGCTAGGCCGAGCTTCCCAAGTGGCTCTGGCGGCCAGGGGCGGAATGGGGGCAGGTGACAATTCAATTACCGCGGTTGGGGTGGGGGTAAGACGGGGGCGCAAGGGTGGGTAGGGGAGGGTGTTAATGGCATAAATGCCAAGAAGATATTTCTTGCCTCCTCCTGGCTGTTGTGGCATGCTCCCTAGTCCGACGTGTTTGGGGTGGTTGTAGGTTTTTCGCTACTGCCTTTAAAGCTCAGTTCCTTTATTTTAGAAGTCTTAATACGATAGGCATCACAGAGGGTGTGATTTTTGAGGATTTCGTTTTGAAAGGTGAGCTCAGGGAAGAGGAAAGGGAATTGTGCTTCCTGGCGGCGCCCGCCTCGCTCCTTGTACCCCTTCCCCCTTCCCTCTGCCTCCTCTTGCTCTATTCAGTCATTACTTCTTCAGCAACTCAATTTTTTTCGTGGTGGTGGGATTCTTTTGGTAGTTGTTTTAAATTAATGTATAGCGTAAAAAGAAAAAAAACGAAAGTAAAAACTAGCCTCTCTGTCTCCCCAGACCCTCTTGGACACAGGACGCGCATCTATTTATTCATCATTTTGTGCGGGACGCGAGGTCGCAGCGGGCCCTTAGGAGCAGTTTTGACATTGCCTTATTCTCCGGGTCCTGACGTCACAGCCCTGCGGAACAGCTTGGTCTGCAGAGGAGGTAACAGGTTTCGCATTTTGTTTCCCTTTTAAATGACAACATCTGGAATTAATGCTGCGGTCCTGGGGCGGGGTCGCCCCGGGTTTCTGTCTCTCTCATTTTATTTATGTCTTTCCTTCGTTCTCTTGTTCTCGCCTTCTCATTTTTGTTCTTTATTTTTTTTCTTTCCTTCGGAGTAAGGAAAATTCGTTAAATTAATGAGAAAAATTAGCTTTCCTATCATTTTCCTTCCTCTTCTAGTCCTGTGTTTCCGCGTTGCTCTTCCGACCCTCTAGGGCCAAAGGGGTCTGGCCCTCGTCATCCCGGGCGCGGATGTGCTGGGCTTGCAGCGCTGAGGCCTCTGCTAATGCTGCGGGGCCCCGCGGTGCCACCCCAATCGACTTTGATGCCCTGGGCCAGGGATTGGAGGAGGGAAGCAAGATCCGCGGAGCCCCACCAGAGATCGCGGAACCTAATCCTCCCGGAAGATGCACGGCAGGCGCCTCTGGAAAGAGCCATCTCCAGGAGATGAGGAAGGGGTCGCCCCTAAGAGCCTGGCTAGGAGCTTACAGAAAGTTGACCAGGCCTGAAGCACTACTGCTCTCCGACTGTGTTAGAATCTGTGATAGCGATAGAAACCCGGCTCTCAGCAAATTCTGCTCGCTGGACCTCAAGAACGTGTTTGGGGTCAGCTCCCCAAGGGTTTCCTGCGTCGAGCGAGGGTAAAGGAGTTCGTTGGTGCATATATGTCCTCCAGGAGCGCGGGACTCAGACACCACCCCTCCAACACCTTGAGATGACAAGGCCAAAGAAATCTACAAAATAAGTGAACCCTGAAGCGAGAGGGGCGCCATCAGTGGCTGGAACTGGCGCGGGAACTCCAAGTGCCTCCTCCCAGAGCTCCGTTGGACAGAATTTTCTGACATTATTTTAAAACCAAAACGAAATAAACTTTACAAATCCGCCAAACTTTTGCGGGGCTGTGGCCCAGGCACTTCTCTTCTGGCTTGGGGCAAGGCTCACTTGAGGTTCCCCTACCCCCTCCCGCTGAACCCGTGGGAACCAAACGTGCAGCCACTAGGACTCAGGTACCCAGAGTTCTCCCACTGGCATGTAAGGAGCCTCCTTTTCTTGGGGGGAAGAGTGGGGACACATTCTGGAATCTGGCCCAAACAGAAGGCATCTGCCTACCCCCAGTGCAGGTGCCTTTCTTCCCCAGGTCCTCTTTCCTTTCATCCCACAGAGCTGGGACCCACAACTTTTATTCCACCGCCGCCCACCTGGAGGTTGGGACGCTCTTGTGCATGAATGTGTTATGAAGGGGGCTGAGTACCTGTCTTGGCCAAGGTCACGGTAGTCACCCCTGACCGGACAGGAATCCTGGGACTTCCTGGGCCATTCCGGGGATAGATTCTATTTGGACTGCGGTAAGGAGGGTAGAAGACAAGACAGGGGACGCCTGGCCCTTCTACCAGCCCTTGCGAGAATATGCTCAGGGTGGGGGGACAACCCTCTCCCCCACACCTGAGTGTGACTTCATTCATACCTGGACACACACCTTGTAACTCCACTCTGGAAAAGGCTTGGACACACTCTCACACCACATGCAATGACCCCCACGGGGCATGCACTCACCCCTTACACTTTGCTCCCACCCAAGCGGACCCCTCCAAAAAGTTAGATTGACCTCACAGCGCTCTCATAAGCATGTCCTCATCCTGGGACAACCACTTGAAATGTGACTTCACACCCAGATGCCCACAGATGCCCATTTCGGTGAGTGCACACTCAGACATGAGCCCATCCTCAGTCTGTGTACTCTGAACTCCTCAGCGAAGCCCCAGTACTTCCCCTACCCAGGACCCTGCAGGCGGCGCAACTTGGAGCAAAGAAGGTCACAGGCCTCTAGGACAAGTGAGGAGGCTGAAGGCAGAGGGCTGGTCCTTACACACTCACACAGGTACACATTCACGCATTTCCTCTTACTTCAGGATAATTTGCTGAGGTCTCTGCTGTGACAGGATGAGAGATGGGGGTGAACGCGCCCAGCCCTGTAAATCCACCCCCA